TGAAGTGAACAATTCACAGAAGACTCCTAGCATTTATTTACATAACCTCCCTGGTGAGTAATAGCAACTAATAAATACAGTAGTAAATGCATAGTCTTTGTACAAATAATTTATGAACCAAAGAAAAGGCAAACACTATCTGATATTCTGTTTACAGCAAATAATTGGATCAACTGTAATCATGCTAAAATTTGGGGGAGAAGATTGGAAATGAAATGAGTATTATGTCCCTGCCATGAGCAAATTACAATCTCCTAAAGCGATTTTGTGGGTTCCTTTTGTGTTGGAATAAAACATCTTCTCATATGAATCTGCCCTCTGGAGTGCACTGAAACTACCTAGCTTTCAGGTAGCAATGGCTGAATATTATCTAGCCAACAGGTTATGCTCTTAATGTTGTGGAAGGTCATTATTGTCTCCTTTTGTCCTCTGGTAATGACATCCTGGTCTTTGAAACAGACTCTTCTCTTACGTCACCTGCACAGGTTGTTAGACATGGTGAGCATGACTTCTTGGTGCGTACTGTGTATCAAAAGGGCTATGCTCACGGTAGCTGAGGAAGAGACTGCTTTGCTTTCATCATAGTACCTGCTATATCTCAAAGAGCCAAACTGTTCAGGACAGTGAAAAATCTATGCGTATAAATTTTTTACATTAAGTAGGAGAATCAAATGCAGTTTCTGAAAGGAGTTTTTAGCAGAGAAGGGAATGCCTGTGGGATGTATCACAACCTTTGGATTTCCTGGGACCAGAAATTATCGCTCCTGCTCTCTTCAGAAATGCCACTCCTGATCCCTCTTCTTCCCTACTAGTTAATGTTGAAGTGAGGATAGACAGGGAGAAGTGGATTATAGGGAGGAGGAGGAATTGATGAACCCTTGAGAAATATGTGGAAACAAGCACATGTTGTTTCCTCAGTGTGCAGTTGTTCTCAGAAACCAAGCAAAACTGGATAAGACGAACAGCGCACATGCCACTGTCAGCCTGATTCAAAAGGGGAAGTTCCCTGGAGCATTGCTGTGTCTGGCTGACCTCGTAGCCGTTATGGTAAAGCACATTTTGTTTCTTGAGCGTTTGGCTATAAGCTGCAGACTCTGGATTTGAAAGCAGGCATATGCAAGGAGTTTTGCCTGGGACAACTATCGTAGTATGCGGAGAGCTTCTGTGTCTCCTACCTGGGTCCATGTCTGGAGAACATCCAGGAGTGTCACTCCTGCACAATGTCACTGGCTTTTGTTTATTAAGTATTTCTTAACAAATACCACTATGTTCTTGGACTCCACTACCTTCCTTTGGTTTTGACCTCAAAAGCTCAGAATGTTTTTCATCTCTGTCTGAGAAATTGCCTCCCACCCTACTGAAGGTTTGCTAGAGAGCACTCACAATGCAAAAGAGGGCTGGTGGGAATGTTGTCTTCTCTGGGACTGCTTGCACTTGTTTCTGCTCTTGGTCCAGAAAAGCACAAATTTGTTAGCCGTAGGCCTCCAGAGCTTTGGAAAGTGTATGTATGTGAGGGGCAGGGGGTTAGAAGAGGTGATTGCTGCCTACTCTGTCTCATCTGTTTATATCTGTCTGTCTCAAGTAGTGCTCTGGCATCTATCACCTTGGTAGCTAAGCATGTTTCACAGAGGACCATGGCTTTTTTTTGTCTTTTCCTTTTAATAGTCTTTTCTCCTTCCTTTTAAACTGTCTTTAATAAAGTTGAGAATTCTTGCACAGGGCTTTATAAACATGTGTTATTAAATTTTAAATCTGTTTTGAAAGTGCCTCTCTCCTACTCCCTCCTAGTAAAGTGACCTTTTTAAATGGAGGGAAGTGGGTTTAGATGACAGTCATGATAAATGCGGTCATGTTCACTCAATAAAATAAGGCCCAGTGCATTTGAGGATAAATCAGTGAAATGTACAGCCCCACCTGTCTGTCTCCATCATTCATTTCCACTGTCACTTTCACAGTGGCTGATGGATCACAGTTGCTGTAAAATTAGACAGCCTTTAATCTCATTTCATCCTGATTAGCTTCTCCTTACCCTTTCCCTCTAACTCACTGACTGACACGCTAAAAACTCACACTGGGCTGTGTTTGAGTGTGGCGTACAAACTTCTCTTCAAATACCCTTATTGCCGGGCAGGCAGGTGTTTCACTGGGTCGAAATCTAAAAATGAGAAGATGCGATTTTCACATTATTAAAACGAAACAGCAGACAAAGGCTGATGTAAAATTAATGAACACGGTGAGTTGGCCAGACTGCGTGATGGGCCAGATTCTTCCTGCTACAGCCTGGCAGCCCCAGTGAGCTTGAGAAGTTTGTTGCTGCTGGAAGCTGAATTTAGCATGCTCAATGACGCTTCATTTTGACTATAGCTATGAAAAGTTAGGTCCTGTACAGACATCTGTTCATAAGGAGTTATGATTTATAACAAAAGTTTCCTGCTGCCTTCAAAGGGCATTTTCTGGCTGTAAAGACATTGCTTGTTCCCACCGTTCGGAGTTCTGTGTAGAACCCAGGATTAGGAAGGCCTCTGAAAATGATCAGGGAGAAAGGCTGTAACGCTGATGCTTTCGATACAAAAACTCCCTCTGAGATCTTTGCAGTGCTGTTCTGCCCTCCCTGTTTTGTTTGGCTCCCTCTGACCTCGGTGGCGGCAGGCAGAGCATGATTGCAGTCCACGTTCGTGAGACTGAGAACAGGGTTCTTCCCAAAGCTCTGCAAGAAACAGATGTCGTAGTAAAGGTCTGCAATATTTTATTTTAGTCACTTTTCGTTCTGGTTCCCAAATACTACCACCCTTCCTTAGGTAAACTTCCCTTTAGCTTTCCCGTGAGTTACAGATGATAGTTCAGGTCATTTGGGCCTGATCCCGTATCAGTGGGAATGTTGCCATCGAGTTAAGTAGGAACTAGGATTAAGCCCTTAGTTTTCAAGGTTTAATTATCATCATAAGTGTGGGAGTCTTATTGCATAGTTTATATGCATGGGAATGGCAGAAAAGCTTAAAATATAATTTCTTCCTCTACTGGCCCTGTTTGTATCAATATGGAGGATAAACAAACAAAAGTGTTTGCAAAAATGGAAACACAAAATGAGAAAAATATGCATGTATGCACCGTTCTTTTCGATAAATGCTGTATCCCTTCAAATTGATCAAAGGAAGAACCTCGTTGAGGGTTCAAACGTTGGCTTGGGCATCATTTGAAAATGCAATAGAGCAGTGGGTTAGGTGAAAATCAAAGACCCTGCAGGCTGCTCCCAAGGAGTCTTGACAGGGGGGCCCCAGCAAACATCTAAGGGAGACAACAAATTTCCTGTGGGAGATATAAGTTCATTCTATAGTGCAAGCATCCACAAAATCAAGGAAAGTTCTAGGCTTCTGAGAGAAGAAAGATTTTAAAATGAGAAAATAACTGAGATTAAAGAATGAGGTAACTATGATTTGGGGGCCAAGAAGGTATCAAAAATTTCTCTCGTTCTTTCATCCTACTATAAGCAGTATAAATTCTTAGGCAGTGCCTAGTATAGGATTACTTCCTCGTTATAAACAGTTTACTGGTAACAAATAACCTTAATTAATGCATTTTTACTGAACCCAGCTGCCCAATTTAAAAATTGCTTCACTTATGTGGCTTGTAAGAGCACAGACTATGAAAATGATATTCGACCTTTACTGGAAACTAAAAGCGTACCTTACTTATTCATCATTGCCTTGGCAAAAACTTCAGTAAGAAGCTTAAATGAGCCCACTTGATCTTTAAGAAAATGTGTCCTACATAAGAAAGCTGTGCGTATTTCTTATTATTATTTGCATATGCTATACTGCACAACTGCATTTTGAGAAAAATAAAAGATAATAAAACAAGTGAAATGAGAGATATATCACCCAAAATAATCCAAGTGTGAGATAGGCTGCCTCTTTTTTTCTTTTTTTTTTTTTTGGCATTGGCAAAAGAGCACAAAGTAAGAGCTGGCCCTGAGTCATATTGATTTCCCACTGCACTGGTTTCCTAAGTGCTCTGTTGATCCGTGTCAAGCAATAAGTTCCCTGCCTGTACATGCACATCACCTCCCCATTTGTCCTCACCTAGATTTAAGGTGCCCATATGATGAGCTGAACAAGGACATCATTTTTCCTACTGGTGTCACTGGGCCAAAACTACTGCATGTGGTATGATAACTAATGCTGTGTCTACATTTACCATATAATATTACAATACTGTTGTATGGCACAACACAGTAATATGTGCATATTATGGATATGTAAGCCCTGTATTTTTGTGTGCTAGTACTTGTAATGGAAATGTAAATGAAATAATAAATAGTTTATTGTGACTGTAGCTGATGTATAGTAATCCCAACACCTCCCAAAAAAGCATACTGGAAAACCTAATGCCACAATTTTGATCTTTGTTAACAAAGGGCTTCCTGATTAGATGAATAGAAAATGTGTGGTTGTGCTGCTAATGACATTGTACAGGAAATTAAGCGTATACATTTGGAAAAGGCATTAAATCAGCAGGACCTTAATTTAAAAACTTAAAACTGTATGGAAATGCAGCTTGTTCATTGCTGTGTAATAGAAAGCTACTGAACACACTGACTCTTCTTGTGGAAACATTACCAAGAGAACAAAGCTGGGGTGAGGTTTTTTAATGTTTCCTAGCATACTAGGATTCCTAGCAGCTGTTTATTTTCAGGAAAATATCAGACAACTTCACCCCTTTGTATAAGCGGTTTTTAGAACAGCGTATATGGCAGTTGGACAGGTGTGTGGGGGCAGAGGGACAAGAATTTCAGCTTTTTGCCTCAGTTATTTGCGAGATTGAATGATGTGAAATGATTGATCAGTGGCTGTGTCTGCTGTTAATTCACTGAACATGCTTAGGGTGATGCATTCTGCTATTATTCCCTACAGATTTAATTCCAGTACTGTATTTTTTACCTTTGGAAAAATTTTATGGAATCAGTGCCCTGAGCTGATAAAGAATTCTTGCTTTACTTGCAGTCATGCCATATAACAGTGCCCACCACTGTGTCGTGGAAGTGGAAAACTTCTTGTTCGTATTGGGAGGGGAAGACCAGTGGAACCCTAATGGTATGTATGTAATAGTAAAAGACATGAGCGGTATCTGTTTTTCTGTGTCTGTCTGTCAGGTTGGCTGATGTGGTCATTAGCAAGTGATTTTGAGGACCCGTAGCCTAATTGTTGAACTAGTCAAGGCTACGTTTAGATAGTGATGTAATAAATATGTGGTACTTTAGCGTTAGCATCGCCGTCGTTCATCAGCTCCCACATCCCTTGAGAAATGCCACAGGCAGCAGAACAGACTCTTTCAAGTGCATGCACCAGGCAGCAGCTGTTAAGAATTTTAACCTTCATTTCCAGTCTCCTTCCAGTCATAATATAATAATGCAATTGCAGTAGATGAATGCTTCTTTTCTATTGTCAAACCAGATACTCGCAGCTAAAGTTGTTAATGTGTTAATTATCTAGACTCTCAGATTCTTAAACTGGTCCTTTTTTTAGTCTTGTGCAAGAGCTTCTCATATAGATTATCTGCTGCTACCTTCTTTGATTTGATTACTTCATAAATTTACCGCAAAGAGAAATTAAACAATTTAACAGGCTTCTGAGCAAAGCAAAAGGAGAATACCATGCCTTGCAAAATTCACAAAATTGTCAAGACAGTGTTAAAAAGCTTGCACACAAAGAAAGAGTTGTAGTTGTAGCAGTCTGTGTAACAGAGATAATTATGACTGAGAAACCATAAAACAGCTTGCAGGTACACATTTTTACTTTAAAACACCAGAGGATCCAGCTGAAATTACATATACTGCATATATTTTATTGTGAATGCCCCATTTCAGCATCTGCACTAAACCAAATTATAGAAAATTGTTACATCTGTTCACTTCCTAAAATCTGAGACAAACAATCCAGTCCACCCTATAAGCATATTTCCGATGTAGTTTAAAATATCACTGAATGTCTTAGGAGAAGGGCCCTTCAGTTCTATTGTTGAATTTTATATTAAGCAGGAGATAGCATGGTCTCATTTATGATAATTCTCATTAGGAGTGTCAGCCACATTCAACAACTGAGGGCCTCTGTTGTGCTTGATGATAGGCGTGTGGATAATAAGAGGCAGACCTTGTTCCAGACAGTTTAAAATTAAATAGCCAGGTCACATGAAGGATGAAAGAAAAGAAGTGTAATCATCTACAATTTAAACATGTGGAAACTGAGTCACAGAGTAAAGGAGAGACTTAAGGAGGGGTACTTATCCCGCGTCAGAGGTAGGAGTTGAGCACAGCTGTCATAACAAGCTGTTCTTAAGCTGGATAGTACCGTAATTCTAAGGCCACCTAGATCAAGTCTTGAACTGAGGACATTGCCACCAGAAGTCTAACAGCTTCCTTGTTCTGTGAATGCCAGATATTTGCAATTTGTCTTTAGAAAAGAGAGGAATAGAGGAGGTAGGAGCACTACTGATGCTGATCTCTTTACAAATGTACCCCAAGTGAAATGGATCTTACTCATCACGAAAAGTGGACCTGAAAATCATCAACTACATCCTGTGCTGGACTAGTTCTTTCTTCAAACTGATTTACTCTAAATGGGCAGCTACGTGGGAACTACTCTCATATAACCATTTACATTTATGTAAAGGCCCTTGTCTGCTATTTTCATAGTACAGTAGGGGCTTCAAATGGGCCTAACTGGAGCTGTCCTGCCAGAACATTGCAAGGATTTCAGTTTGCATGAGAACGTGCTGGTATTATTTCGATGAATTGAGTTATCTTTGAGATGGGGAAGTTGAAGGCTCGCTATGCACTTCTTTAGCCATCGCAGTTGCAGATCTTGAGGCACCCCATGGACTGTGAGGAGCTCCCACGCACCCTTCGTGCTGGGAGCACCCTTGTGATTTCCAGTCACAAGAGATCCCTCCGCAAGTGAATGCTGATGAGAGCAGGTTGCAGAACATTAGCATGGGTTTAGGACCAACCTTTTCAGCCTGCAGAGCCCTCACCTTTGGGCATAGGGGCAGAGACCTTCCTGCAGAGAGCAGCATCTGTATTCTTTCCCCCCATTCTGTTGATTTACTAACCCTGATTTCTGTTTACTCCTCACAGTCTCTGGGTTCTGACAAGTGTTTCCTACTGTGTGCATACTTCCTGAGTGATGAGCAAGGCAAAATCATAGATACAGTTGTCTTTCAAACTGAATTCCAAAATTAAATTGGAATGAAAACAGTTATACCAGGCAGCTTAAATAGGTCATCAAGTCCTTTTCCTGCCATTACAGCCATTGTATAGTTCGTCTTTGTAAATTTTCTAGGCTCCTAAAAGCAGTCGGATTTTTAGCCCCCTGCTACTCCTGTTGGAAAGCTGTTACAGAACCCAATGGCTCTAAATGACTAGGAGCTGTATTCTAATTTCCAGTCTAAAGGTATTCTTTGACTGTCTAAATTACCTTTCCTCATGCCAAAGATGGCCTTTCACTTAACAGTTTTCCCCTCCTGGATTTTTGTTCCCTTGCTGTATTATAGACACCATTCCTATCCCCTTTCAGCTTTTGTTTTGCTAGGTACAAGAAGCCAGATTCTTTAGTCTTCTGCTCCTCCTGTCGTCGTAGAGGCACATCTCTATGCCTCTTCTAGTTTGGTTGCGTCTTCCTTCCCGTGAAGTGGCCAGATTTGTATCCTGTCTTCCCACTGTAGGCTCATTAAAGGCTTCTCTTTTTACTAGAAATAACTACCATTGTGTGCTATACAGTCCTGTACATGCGTAACACTTGTAGAGGTTGGGAGGTCTGTGTGATAACAACGCTGCTGTATAAGCAAGGAACCACTGAAGTTAAAAGTAACTCTGAAGAATGTAGTAACTCTGAAGGAGCAGCATTAAATCCTTCTAGCAGAAGCCTAAACTTACGATCAATACTTACATTATTTTGTAATTCTTCTTTTTGTAATAGAAATAGATTAATAAACGTCCCAAACAGTGAGACCTAGAGCTAGTTAGATGCCTGCTATTATTGCTTTTGCTGTTTATTGAATCTATAGCCCTCAATGCATGTTTTTTTGTTGTCTTGATAGACTAAAGGAATTCAGATAGGGACCAATAGCAAATCTGGCTTCACTAAACTTGATGGCAAAATTGTAGTTGCCCTTAGCGTATGAGGATCTCACCCTATGAGATGTGTTTGAGTAGCGCTCAGCGTGCTGGGACCTCAGTCCTCATTAGGCACAATGCTGGATTTGAAGGGAAATGCTGCATTATTCATCAGTCATCTGCTTTTTACTCTTCTCATATGGAACATGCTTTTAGCAGCGAGAAAATGATTTTGCTTCCAGAAGGAGTGGTCAACATGGTTTCTTTTTCTATTTCCTTGTAGAGCATGATCTTAAGTTATTATGAATGTAGATTCTAGCTGTATCATGATTCTTCTCTACAATCCTGATATAGTTTATTTGTGTAGGCTGAAGCATGTATAGAAAGAAACAAGCAAAGAGGGCCAATCCTACAGTGGCTTTTCCAGTGCAAAAATATTCACCTTGTAGAATACCCAGTGACCATTTATATAACTGTGACATATGCAGTTGGGTTATTCTGCTGTCCTCTGAAGCCTCTAATTCAATTTTTTAGTCACAGATACATAAACAAAGATTTCTTTTTCTGAGATCCTCGTCTGTTGCAGTCTCAGGTGTTACAAGAAATTGCGGTGCACTCTCTTGCTTCAGTTTTCTTGCTTTGATGTCAATCTGCATGTAAAATAAGGTGAAATCTTAATATTGTGAAGACATGAATACAATTCTGGGGCTGTTGCTAATGTTTCTATTTTAGCTAACACACTTGGAACAAAACCCTAAGAGTGTATTCCCCCTTCGATGCACATGTGTAACTCCTCTGAACTTACACTGAAAGTAGATGGTAGAATAAACCATGTAGTGCAAAGACTGCATACCCCATGCTGATGGCTTATGCAGCTCCTGGTTATTTGCGCAGTCTTTTTCACCATGTTGCACACAGACATGAAGTGAGGAGAAAGAAAAACACATATTCTCCCCATGAT